ACGTGTCTGCTACAGTGTATGTGAACCCTGTGAACTGTAGACTCTGAATACGGGAGTCCAAATAAATCTCTTTGTCCTTAAGTGGCTTCTCTGTGATGAGAACAGTGATGAAATGGTACCGGAAATAGGGATTTTGCTGCAATACACCTGCCACGTGCTTCTCAGGCTTTCAGAACTGCTTTGTGGGAGGTATGTGGAAGAGGTTGGAGCTGCAGGCTAAAGAAGTCCTAGAATGCTGTAAGTGAAACTTAATGTGGGAGCTCTAGGTTTCAGAGAAAAGGAACTGTGGGGGCCCTTTTTTTTTTTTTTTTTTTTTTTTTTTTTTTTTTAAGGTTCCTCGTGGCTTTACCCAGCAGGTCCGCATAGAGGATGATTAGGACCACGGGCCTGAGTGCAGGTGTCTGAGATGGTCTGCACTTGGCTGTGCTGGGGGAGGAGGTCTTTTGCTCCACCCCTTGGCGTCTCTATAAATACCTTGGGGCAGAGACAGCCTGGGCCGTTGGAATAGGTTCCAGGCCCTCTCGAGGCTATCCTTTATTTTTATCTGTTTATCTCCTCAAGATTCTCCGCAATGAATCCTTCTATCTAATATTTCCTGCTGCTCGCACTCAAGAAAACTCTGGGGAGCTGTGGGGTTGGTGGGTAAACACCCCACAAGGAACCCATTGGGAAATTAGACTAGATAGAGGACATTTGTGTAAAACTGAAAAGTAATCGTTTGGTGGAGGAAATTTCAAGACATTCAGGCTGGGGCATGGTGGCTGTTTCCTGCTTGTAGCCAGGACTTAGGGTGAATGAGGAAAGAAAGTGGAGTGGTAGATGTGAAACACCATGGAGATTTGGAAAACGAGTGCCTTCAAAGACAAGGTGGGTGCAAAGTGGCAATAATTGTTAAAGAGGAACCATGTACTTTACACTGTTGGTATTATAGGAACATGACAGCACTCATGGAAGGCTACAGAGTGTGAAAATGAAAAACCCTCTGAAGGCCTTTCATTCAAAAGTTCTAGCAGGAATACCCAGAGGAGCAGTCTTTCTGTCTTTGTGTAAGGAGCTCAGAGAATGCTACAGCCATAGCTTGAGGGGCTCATTTACATTTCAAGATGGTGGCGGGGCTTGGCACCATCCATATGCCTGTGAGGACAATATGGAATTGGGTGGTCAGATTCCTTGAAAAGCCGAGAGGCTGTTGCGTGAAGCTATGAAGGTGAAACCTACATTTTAACGGAGAGCGGGGAATGTTGGAGATGACCAGACCGTAGTGGTCACTGGTTGGAGCCAGCCCAAGAGAAAGCTCATGAATGCTTCAGGCAGCCCGGCTGTAGGAAGCTAACTGGAGCTCAGATGATGCCACTGTGTATTCCAGATACTGGACACTGAGATGTAGCCTTTGTTTGCCCTGCTTGGATTTAGTCTTGCATTGGTCCAGTCTTTCCTTGCTGTTCTCCCAGACTTACTTGATAGAATGGGGATGTTCATTTTGCGTCTTTGTATGTTGTGATATTTATTTTGTAGGAACTCACACTAAGAGTTTCCCTTTGCATCTCAAAGCACTTTGGACTTTTGAATGGTGCCGACTATTAAAACTGGGAATTTTCGCCGGGCAGTGGTGGCGCACGCCTTTAATCCCAGCACTCGGGAGGCAGAGCCAGGCGGATCTCTGTGAGTTCGAGGCCAGCCTGGGCTACCAAGTGAATTCCAGGAGAGGCGCAAAGCTACACAGAGAAACCATGTCTCGAAAAACCAAAAAAAAAAAAAAAAAAACTGGGAATTTTCGAGGTGGGACTGAATACACTTTGCATTATGAGCCAGCAGGGACTTGGAAACACCCCCACCACCATGAACTGAGGCTTCTGCCTAATCTTTCCTGCCACGAAGGATAATTTCATCCAAAATTGAGTCAAATCTCTTCTCCTTCAGTTGCCGTCTGTTGGGTTTTTAGTGACAAGAAAAGTAGTTAACATATTGTTTACAGATGCCATAGCAACAAGAACCATCCATAATGCCTCCAAAAGGAGAATGGCTTTAAAACTTCACTTATATATCAGAGAATGAATGAACTAAAGTTAAATGTAGTAACTGTATATTAACAGCATAATTTTAAGTAAACCAAAGTCTTAAAAAAAATGCTTACCGAAGGAAACCATTTGCATAACATTCCACAACATATAAACAAAATCATTAAAAACATTTTTTTAGGATGCTCAATAAATACGGTGAGATAGAAAAGGTAGCTAAAGGAGGTAGCAATACTAAATTAACAAGTGGTTGGCTGAGGGGAGGGGAGGGGATTATGTGGCTGATAAGGAAGATTCTCAGTCTTTTTAGCTTAAGTACATTCTCTATTATAACAAAGCCTAGAAGAAAGGGAGTTGAGCTGTTGGCAGTTGCTGGGAACAGGAGACTGTCCATCTAGACAGGCAAGATCACTTCCTATAGACCAGAGTGTGGGAGCCCATTCTCGGGTTCCTCGTGGCTTTACCCAGCAGGTCTGCATAGAGGATGATTAGGACCACGGGCCTGAGTGCAGGTGTCTGAGATGGTCTGCACTTGGCTGTGCTGGGGGAGGAGGTCTTTTGCTCCACCCCTTGGCGTCTCTATAAATACCCTGGGGCAGAGACAGTCGGGACCGTTGGAATAGGTTCCAGGTCCTCTCGAGGCTATCCTTTATTTTCTATCTGTTTATCTCCGTGATATTCTCCGCAATAAATCCTTCTATCTAATATTTCCTGCTGCTCGCACTCAAGAAAACTCTGGGGAACTGTGGGGGTGGTTGGGTAAACGCCCCACACCAGAGGGCTTGGATATGCCACTTAAGAGACTTCCAGGAACGTGAAAGATGTGGAAGCATAGAGAGGACAGCTGGGCAAGGTCAGCGAGGGCCAGAGTACAAACTCTGGAAAGAATGCACACAGGGAACACTGGGCACAGCAGACTTCAGCCCCAAACTGCAGCAGGAAATGCCGCATCCTTGGAAATCTTAAACTTTCGAGCAACGAATCACCATTACAAAACTGTCATGTCATTTTACAGTTTTTAAAGTGAGCCACGTGTAGACTTACCAGGGGCTGAGAAGCAGTAAGAGAAGTACTTTTATAAGGGCATGTAGCTTTTTCTCGACATATTCATAAAAAGCATTTGGTATGTTTGTCGACTCCGAGTGCGGTACGGCAAGGTTCATCACTGGATGCTAAAACTACGGAGTGAAAAAATGCTAGGAAGAGAATATCCACAAGAGTTCAAAAGGTGACCACGTACCTCTAAAGCGAAAAGATACGTGTCACCATAATAGCGATGCGATTCAATCTATCATCACCCAAAGTGGAAGAACCTAATGGCATGCAGCTCCCAATGTTGTGTAAAAATTAGTTTTGCCCCAAATTTATAACTGAAGTAGAATCATGAGGAAATTATTAGGCAAATCTCGAATGTGGTTACTCTATTAGATAATTTGTTTTCTTCCTTCCTTCCTTCCTCTCTTTTTTTTTTTTTCTTCCGTTTTTCGAGACAGGGTTTCTCTATGTAGCTTTGCGCCTTTCCTGGATCTCGCTCTGTAGACCAGGCTGGCCCCTTTCTCACAGAGATCCGGCTACCTCTGCCTCCTGAGTGCTGGGATTAAAGGCATGTGCCACCACCACCCGGCTAATTTGTTTTCTTTAAGAAGACAATTTAACACACACACACACACACACACACACACACACACACACACACACACACACAATTGGAGGAACTAGTCTTTTTAAGAAATATTTATTTCTGGGGTTGGGGATTTAGCTCAGTGGTAGAGCACTTGCCTAGCAAGCGCAAGGCCCTGGGTTCGATCCTCAGCTCCAAAAAATAAAATAAAATAAAAATAAAAAAATATTTATTTCTATTTGTGTGTCCATGTCTTTGTGTGTGAGTACGGTGACCGCAGAGGCCGAAAGAGGGTATCGGGTCCCTGGAGCTGGAGTGACAGAGAAAGAAGACAACAGTACCTGTGATGTTAACCACTGGCAAACACATGTGAAAGAGATAGGGGTTTGACATATTATTTACACTTTTCAATGTTTTTCTAGGTGGAATGAAATCTCTTTAAAAACAAACTACTATTATCTGGTTTTAATGAATGAAGCTATATTTAAGAGGAATACCAAATAAGTGGCCAGTGAGAATGTAGCATTTTACTCTTCTCTTACTGGTATTTTTACACTGTGGAATAAGTATATTATCTCTTAGTATCTTTTTTTTTTTTTTTTTTTTTAAGGTTTATTTATTATGTATACAATGTTCTGCCTGCAAGTATCCCTGCATGCCAGAAGAGGGCACCAGATCTCACTACAGATGGTTGTGAGCTGCCATGTGGTTGCTGGGAATTGAACTCTGGACCTCTGGAAGAACAGCCGGTACTCTTAACCGCTGAGCCATCTCTCCAGCCCCGAGCATCTTTCATTTACTTCTGAGGGTATATGGTCTCAGTTTCCAAAAACCAGGAAATAAAAGTATCTTCTTAATCATAGCAACAGTGGGACAAAGTAGGACTCACTTGCTGATTCCAGGCACAGTTTTGAAAACAAAAAACATTTTTACCTAGTTGCTTCTCTAGAAACAGACCTAGGAAATCTTACCTCAGACCCAAGACATCATTTCTATTAAATATACATACATAACAAATGCACACATACGTAAAGACATGTGGACTTAACATAAATGTATATCAAATATATTCATCCTATTTACATACACATATAGGCGCATATGGATGGCTGGTTGCCTAATTTGTGGGACCCAGTTTGAAATAAAATAGGTGCTCTTGAAGTGGCTAAGTGCGGGACGCTTCTGAGCACGGTCTAGTGCAACCGCACAGGCTGCATGCCCATTAAGTACACGCTGTGTACATATCTACATGCGACATGACAAACCTGAATGTCGGCTTTCCCAAGTCACCATCTGTAGACTCACTAGACAGACTCACAACATCCAGTCCCTACCTGAACGTCCACTATAACATGAGGCTCTTTGGCACATTAACATTTTATTATAAGAGAAAATATTTTCATTCAACATTAATTCTCATAATTTTCAACTTCAAATACAGATGAGAGTGATGAGATTGTATGTAACATTATATGGTTCTAACAAATAATATTTTACCTTTGTTGTTACACCTATCCCTTCATCTTTTGTTTCTTTGGTGGAAAATTTTAAAGTGAATCTCAGGTATTATAGTGTTTCAGTCGTAAATATTTAAAAGTTGACTTGTAACAGACAACTTCTTTGTACTATTAACAAAACCACATATCAGGTAAACTAAGAAATGTAATTATCACATAATTAGTCTGGATCACTTTTACAATCCCCAAACTGTCTTTTGTATAAGCTGTTTCAAATCAGGAGGGTCCAAGGTTACAGTTGGTTGACATGTCCTCTTCCTGTATAGCATACGCCCTGTGTTTTCTTTTCTCTCAGTGTTGGCTGAGGAACCAGCCGTACGTCTGTAGCACGTCCTCTGCTCTGAAAGTGGCTCATGGCGTCCCCATGGGTAGATGGATGTAGTTACACTAGTATTGGCTTCAATTCTAACGGAGAGCCATAATAGTCCTGGGAGACAAACAAAATGCTTCTGGAATATGGAGAGCCCCGCGGATGTTAATTTAGTTGTGGTGTATTTTAATTTCCTATAGTTGCAGTATTTTACCACAGGGTCGGTCATTTACATGATATACACTTACAGCAGTTTTTGAGGCCAGAAACTTAAAATGAGATTCATCAGCTATGCTCCCCAGAGGCTGCCATCATGAATCCTGTGCGTGGTATTTCCAGATTAAGGCCCAGCTACACAGACCTGCTCACAACATGCTCTGACACTCATAGTCTTCCCAACTGTTTGTCCCTGAAATTCCCCTCAAACAAACAGTAATTTTTAGAGACAGTGAGATGACTTAGCAGGTAAAAGCACCTGCGACCAAGCCCGATGATCTGAGTTCAATCCCCGGCACCTGCACAACACAGGAGGAAAGAATTGACTCACACAAGTGATCCTGTGACCTCCACACATGTCCCATGGTACATGCCCACGCCCATACCCACATTCACATCACCTCATCAAATAAACGAAGTAAAAATGTTGCACGTTATAATTCACATTGTATACAATTCATTTACTCAACACCTACAATTTAACAGTGTTTATTCAGAATTGCATCAAGACTACGTTCAATCTTAAAATATTTTTTGTCACCTCAAAGGAAACCCACATCCATTAACAGATTCATTACCTTCTCCCAACTCTAGAAAACCACTAATTTGTTGGGTGGTGGTGGCACATGCCTTTAATCCCAGCACTCAGGAGGCAGAGGCAGGCGGATCTCTGTGAGCTCGAGGCCAGCCTGGGCTACAGAGTGAGTTCCAGGACAGATGCAAAGCTACACAGAGAACCCCTGTCTCGAAAAACCAAACAAAAAAAACAAACAAACAACCAAAAAAACAAACAAACAACCACCAATCTGCTTCCTGGCTATAGATCTGCCCATTCTATGCATATAAATAAATAGACCATACGGGGGGGGGGGGGGGGGGGGGGGGTATTTTTCATATAGTATTGTTTCCAAGTTTCATCCACACGGTAGCATGTCTCAGTAACACATTCCTTTTTGCTGCCAAATAGGGTCGTGTTGTATGAATATATAATATTTTATGTACTTGTTCAATAGACATCTGGATTGTTTATTCTTTAACAATTATAAATAAGATCACCCAAGGCAGATAAGTAGACTTGCGTGGTTAGAATTTTCTATGCTTTAGAACTGCTGAGTTCGGAGTGGCTGCCTCCTCACAGCTTTGTGCAGGCCAAGTTGTGTCCATCGTTCAAGACCCAAATTTAGTGCTACTGTCATGTCCCGTGGTCTCCCCTAGTTCTCCCATGGGTCAGTGCTGCACTGTGCTGGCCCGTCTGGGTTCACTCGGTCACTCCTCTGTAATGGTTTCCCTTGGAAAGCAAGGGCAGGCTGCTGCATACTCTTGAAATTAAAAAGAAGGCCGGGCGGTGGTGGCGCACGCCTTTAATCCCAGCACTCGGGAGGCAGAGGCAGGCGGATCTCTGTGAGTTCGAGGCCAGCCTGGTCTACAGCGCGAGATCCAGGAAAGGCGCGAAGCTACACAGAGAAACCCTGTCTCGAAAAACCAAAAAAAAAAAAAAAAAAAAAAAAAAAAAAAAAAAAAAGAAATTAAAAAGAAAAGTGGATATTCAGGAACTGCCCTAGATCAGTTGAAATGAGCCCGCTAGAGGAGAGCCCCGAGCACATAAACTTTGAAAAAAGGCCCATGACTTTGATGTGACCTTAGACATGGTCCAGGAGTATGGAAGCCTCTGACCCCTCAGTTCCTTCCTTTCCTCAGAGAAGTGTTTTATCTGACAGGGGCTACTGAGGTAAAAAACTGAGCATGTGTGGCTCAGCCTGTGGTGTGCTCCCTACCCTGGAGAGCTAACACACCAGGATAAAACTATTTCTCCAAGACATTGGTCCTAGAATACAAGGTAGGCCCTTGCTCTACAGGCAGAGGACAGGCACGCGGTTTTTCTCCAAATAAGAATTATGAGGAAGTCTGATTCAAGAAAGTGGCCTTGTTCTGTATTTCAACTTCAGGCTGGTAAGCTTAATTTGTGGTGCTGTGACTGAACTTGGGGGCCTTGTATGGGCTTGGCAGGCATTCTACTATTAAGGTATGTCTCAAGCCCTAAAGCAGACAATTGATTTCCTGATTCCCATAAAGCCTTATTTCTCAATTTTTCCCAAGTAAAGAGGGGGGACTAAGTGTGTTATCTGCTGGTATGCCTCTACAAGCATCACAGTACTAGCATAAATCATAATTGTTCATGTCTATGATAACTTGTACTTTAACAGTAACTTTTCCCCAAGTCAGTGAGCAATTTTATCCAAAGTAGAACATACTTCTAAAAGAACAAAGCATTACATAAAGGCCTTCTTTCCTCACCTGCATAAATAGTTTTTACTTTATTGGGAATAATCTCAGTCATGATCTGCAGAAGTTGGTCCTGGGCAATTTGAAGATAGGTCCTTTTTATCTGTAATTTATGTGAGAGAAATAAAAGATAAGTAAATAAGTTTAGAGTAAACTTGTAGAAAATTGTATGTAGTATTTTTGACCAGTCATGGTTTTTATTCTACAAAGTAAATGAGGAAAAAGATTAAAACAATAATAAAATATAAGGGGCTGGGGGCTGGGGATACAGCTCAATGGTTAAGAGCACTGGCTGTTCTTCCAGAGAATCTGGATTCCATTTTCAACACCCACATGTGGCTAACAGCTGTCTAACTCCAGGACCAGGGGATCTGAGGCCTTCTCCTGACTCCATGAACACTGAATGTATGTGGTGCACAGATATACACATGGGCATAGCACCCATACAATTAATAAAAAAAATTTAAGAGATTAAAGTAATAACTAAAAAAAAATCCTCATTCTCAAATTACAAAGTCCTTAATTACAAGTTAATCAAGGTGAAATGGATAAACATATAAGACAATTGGTTCAGTTGAGATATCTGGCAAGACTTTTCTGAAGGGAACTGGAGGAGGGGTGGATCTGGGGGAGAGGCGAGGTGGTGGGGAAGGACTGGGAGGAGAGGAGGGAGGGGAAACTGAGGTCAGGATGTAAGATATGAGAGAAGCTGGGTGGTGGTGGCGCATGCCTTTAATCCCAGCACTCGGGAGGCAGAGCCAGGTGGATCTCTGTGAGTTCAAGGCCAGCCTGGTCTACAGAGTGAGATCCAGGACAGACATCAAAACTACACAGAAAAACCCAGTCTTGAAAAACAACAACAACAACAACAAAACCCTTCCTTTCTTTCTTTTTTCAAGACAAGGTTTCTATGTGTAGCCCTGGCCATCCTGAACATACTCTGTAGACCAGGCTGGCCTTGAACTCAAGAGATCCACTGCCTCTGCCTCTTGAGGGCTGGGATTAACAGTGTGTGTCACCATGCCTAAGCCTTTTAAAGTTATTCTTTAGAGTAGAAATTATTTCTTGAGTAATAAAATGGTGAAAATCCCCTCTTGCACATTCAGTGACTGAAAAATTAAATGTTAAATTCTAATAAAAACTCAATTATTTCTGTAGTCACCATTCCTTTAGACACCAGTCCCACATTGCTGGTGTCTCACTCGTGAGTGTTATTAAAAATAAGCAAGTATTCACAGGCAGTAGTTTTTAAACATAAATTATCTTCTCACCTTCGTAGGCTGTCCCACACCAAATGCAATACAGATGTTCTTCTCGTAAGTAGCCGGTGAGTATCTGCAGTTTCTCCAGCACCTGGAGGACACGGGTGCATCAGTGGCTCGCATCAACCAGAACCTTGGTTCCTGGATCTCAGTTCGGTTACTAAGGGCCAGGCTTGAACTCTTCTGGTACACTCTCCAACAGTTACTCAAGGTGATACATTTGGGCATGTCTCTTTTGACTAACCACTTGTTCACAAGAGACAACTGGTGAGCATAAAGAAAATCATCTTGTGGCTTGCTCTGTGATGAGGTTTTGGTGTTTTGTCTTTTGAAAAAGACAGGGTCTCATTATGTATTATTGGCCTGGAACTTGCTATGTAGATCAGCCTAGCCTCGAACACATAGAGATTTGCCTGCCCCTGCCTCCCAAGTGCTGGCATTAAGGTTATGCACCATCCTGCCCAGCAGGAACATCCACTTTGAGTGGCAGATCATGGGACACTCACGTAGCCATCGTGCCCAACGATAATTAGGATTCTCAAAGACCTCTTTTACTTTCAAGGACTCTGCCCCTCAGGTGAGGGGAGGGAGGACTGCCTCCTTCAGCCACACTCATCAGAGATCTCAGTTAAGCCATACGTATGTGCTTAAAGCTGTGAATGTTGCCTAGGAAAATTCCATATGCAAGTAACTGTAGGGGTATTACCACCCTTTCTAGAATAACTACATTTTAAAACTTAATTGTGCACATGTGCGTGTATGTGTCTCAGGTGTTGGCCAGCGTGTGTCAGAGGGAGATTTGGGAGAGTCGGCTCTCTCCTTCCACCATGTGAGTCCCGGGGACTGGACTCAGGCTCGGCAGCAAGTGCCGTCACTCACTGAGTTATCTTCATCCACCCCGTACTTCCTTCTGATTTTATTTTCTGTTTGTCTTGTTTTGTGAACGGATGAGGTACACATTAGGATCACTTTTAGAAATTTAACAGGAAACAAAACCACGTGCAATCATTTACATTTGTAGCTAATCTGTCCTTTTTAGTAAACTAAAACTAAATGGAAAAATCATATGAAATTTTTATTTTGGGGTTAGTAAAGCAATCCTGGAAATCAGCAACTCTCAACTTGGGTGGTTTTTCTCCCCAGGGGCTACTTGGCAATGCTTGGAGACATTTTTTGGTTGTCATGCTGCAGTTGCCAGTGTTTGTACACCCTGATCAATCATTTACCAGCACTCATTCTCAGACCCCTGAGGAAAGCTTAGCTGTTCCTCCTTGCCACTCCTGTGGGGCGGAGGCACCGGAGCTCTCGACATGGCATGCTAATGTCAGTGATACACACATTCACCCAGGACTTCGTTCACCCAAGGCTTTCTCTATTGCCTACATAGCAGCATACCTGGTCTCCACCCTCCAGACGCCAGCTTCAACTGGCAGCTACAGCTTCCTCCTCTGTCATATCACGGCCTGAGGCTGCTTGCCTAGAGAGACTTCCCATCAAGACTAGCTAGCCCCTCCCTGTGTGCTACAGCAAATAAACACACTGACGTTCAGGGTTGCTGGGGTAGTAGGTACCCCCATCAGGTTGAGCACTCCCCCACCCGATCCTAGTTTTCCTGTGTGTCTATGTGTCTGTCCTTTCTCCCTCCCTGCCCCTAGGCAGGTGGCAGAACCCAAGCCAAGTGGCATGTGGTACTGCTACACATCCGATCATGCTGCCCACAGCAGAGTTACCCAGCTTCAGGTGGTAACAGTGCCAAGGCCAAGACTCCTGCTCCAAGGAAACAAATGGTGCCCAGACGTACACTCAAATCTTCACTGGTGTACTCATCTTCATCCTGTTCTTCCTCTTCCTCTTCTTCAGTCTCCTCCTCAGGCCTTATCCAGTACCATGCCTCCCTGGGAACCGGAATGTTCTGAAAATGCAGGATTGTTATAAAGCATAGCTAAGTACACTTGTGGTATCATAAGTATGTTTGTGTTAACACGAATTCTCCTTCCAATTAATATTTACTGAGTGCAATTTCTCAGTAAAGCATTGGACCACGACCAGTGAAGACTAACTAAAAGGGCAATTAGAATTGTGTCAGTCAAGCAAGGAAGAGGAGCGATGGGTATAAATGGTACATATAAGCTAGGAAGTCATTAAGTATCAGCAAGTACATGCAAGATAATAAATACCCCACGGAAATACAGTAAAGTGGGACATTTCTCCCAACTACTGACCTATGGCAGAAATTATACCAATATTTGAGACTTTAAGTGACGGCATTTTACCTTGACACCACTCACTGTGTTTTGTAAAAGGCAAAGATTTCTTTTTAAATGATTTTAAAAGATGCCTATTTGAAATGAAAGCATTCCACCTTCATTTCCCAACAGACACACCAAGTGAGAAGCACAAACTAAAATTAGGTTATTCTGGTGAATCAAACATTAAGGGGAACAGCATTTCTACACCTTCCAGTCCCGAGTAATGACAACTGGAATAAAACCAAAGCTATTTAACCCTTAGCAGACAACTCAGGAAACCGGTCCCTGGAGTAAGTCAGCCATTAATGAGTCAGTCACCACAGTAGGTAGTGCACACCAAACAGAATCCCCCCTCCCCACCCCCCGCTCCCAAACAGGGTTTCTCTGTGTAGCTTTGGTGCCTGACCTGGATCTCACTCTGTAGCCCAGACTGTCCTCGAACTCACAGAGATCTGCCTGCCTCTGCCTCCCGAGTGCTGGGATTGAAGGCGTGCGCCACCACCGCCATTGTAGGTCTTTAAGGGAAAGGTTTTATAAGCAAGGGGTGGAGTTTTTAGTTTTGTTTTGTTTTTTCCCTCAATAAAAATATAAACCAGATCATCCAGGTACTAAGGCACTAGGAAACTGGAGGGAGATGCCCACCGACCTTCTGGGTATCCAGCTGCTGGCAAGCTCGCTGGCTTCTTCGCAGGTCTCCTTCAAGCCTCATCTCGTCTTGCTTACTTTTCATTCGCATCCTGAGTGAAGCAAGAGTCGCAATGTCTCTATTCTCTGAACTACTTTATATACCCGAGCGCTGGGGAGCACACCGTCATAAGGGGGATTGGCAGCAAAACCAGGTCAAAGGAAACAAACGCTTTACCGGAACTGCTCGGCGGCCTTCTCTTCATTTTGGTTTATCATGTGAATTTTTCTCCGGTAGTTTTCCAGCCTTTCCTCTGCTTTCCGTTTTTGTAGCGTCTCGTGACCTAAGCCACTTTTTCCTGGTCACAGACAAAAATTCTGATGAGGAATTTGGGAACTTACTCATTTTTTTTTTTCTTAAACTTCAAAACCTGACAATTTAAATAGCTAAGAAATTAACTGCAGTTTTCATTTGAATATAATTATCCAAACTTATTTCATTAAAATGGCAGCAGAAAACACTAGGATGATTTTGACAAAGATCACAGAGTCTCATCTAACACAGTAATGCTACACACATTTTTACAAATTAGGGCGGTGTTGGCGCACGCCTTTAATCCCAGCACTTGGGAGGTAGAGGCAGATGGATCTTTGAGTTTGAGGCCAGCCTGGTCTACAGAGTGAGTTCCAGGACAGCTAGGACTGTTATACAGAGAAACCCTGTCCCAAAAACCCAAAAATAAATAAGTAAATAAAAAATAAATAAAATAAAAATTAGGAAAATACTATCAACTATCACACTGTCACACATGTATGCTTTTTTCTCTCTTCAGTTAAACCAAGGAATTATATTTAAAAATGTCATCGAAAAATCTTCTTTAGAAAATTTTTGGCACCTTACAAATGACAAGAAAGGCACTGTGCTTTCATCATTATAAAAATTTCCCCCCAGTTTCTGCAGGGCTGGGATCAGAGGCAGAGCCATGTACTGGATAGGCAGGCACTCTACCAATGGGCTTCATCCTTAACTCTGGGGCGGGGCCTCACTATGTAGCTCAGGCTAACCCCCACAAACCTATCCTCCTACATCTGCCTCCTAAGTCCTGAGATTACAGGTACATAATTACAAATGATTACTCCTGGCTCCCCGTATTTTTTATGATTTAAATTTTATATTCCATTACTTCTATTTCACCAAAACTTACTTGAAAATTTTTTTTTCTTACAAAAACAACTTTAAAAAGGTTTAGAAGTTTAACATTTTGCTATTTCATAGGCTTCCAATGACAGTCAACTATAAGGGCACCCTCACAAAAACATATTAAGCAAGCCAATCTAAGTTATTGTTACTTAATATAGTTAAAAATTATTATATACCTGTTTTGACATTCAGAGGAATTGGTTCAACAATACCGTCTCCTAAAAACAGAAAAAAGAAACATAAATTAGAAATATTTTATTTACCACAAAGTTCAGGTCAGTTAGCATAGTATGTAGCATTATAATGTCTCTGTATATCCCTTCCCAGGTTCAATGACACCCCAAATCCAATTCTGGAAACTAATACTCTCTTATTCTCTTTTTCAGCTATTACCTCTCCTAACTTTACATATCACCCACCCACCCACCCACCCACCCACCCACCCACCTATCTATCTATCTATCTGTTTATCTATCTATCTATCTATCTATCTATCTATCTATCTATCTATCTATCATCTATCGATTTTTAAGACCAGGTATCACTATGTAGCTCTAGCTGTCCTGGAACTCATTATGTAGACCAGGCTGGCCCTGAACTCACAGAGATCTACTTGCCTCTGTCTCCCTGTGCACTTATGCATTTTAGGAAGCAACATTATGGACGCAACAGTCTTAACAGGCAGAAATCTCAAGAGAAAACAGTCTTCCTGTATGAAAACATCAACGTGATTAAAGTAGAAACAAAGCAAACCGAAGCCACCATTTACAGCCACCACATCTTAAGAAGCAGTTTCACTTCCTAAAGGGGAACACAGCTTCTCCAAGTGGAAGGTCAGTTGGATGGCTGCCGCAGGCGCAGAGCAGGCTGGGAGGAGCCCTGCCATGGTCCCCTAAGTTGCTTCATTGCCATCTGGCCACTGCGCGTCTCTGCCCATCACCTGCCTCCACTCTCCACTGCTTCCAGTCGGCCACTTGCCAATTCAAGGAGGCGGTGGGATGTTGAGTGGCTCATGTCGGCATGTGTGGCATTTAAAATGGATGTGAGAAGACAACTCTGGAAGGTTCGGTAGCCCCAAAGATACCAAGAAACTTAAGTTGCTTTACTTTTTGGTAGACAAGAAGTACTGTCAACTTAGGTCTCCGTCAGCACATTGCAATTGAGTGGTAAAGAACACCGAGCCAAACCGGGCGGCGGTGGCGCACGCCTTTAATCCCAGCACGAGGGAGGCAGAGGCAGGCGGATCTCTCTGAGTTCGAGGCCAGCCTGGTCTACAGAGTGAGATCCAGGACAGGCACCAAAGCTACACGGGGAAACCCTGTCTCAAAAAAACAAACAAACAAAAAAGAACCCCGAGCCAGTTCTGCCCGTGACTCACCACTCTTGCCCAGGGCCTGCCCGCTCTTGTATCCCATCTTCTGGAGCAAAGCAAACCCTTTGTTTTCACAGCCCAGCGCATTCTTCAACCCGAGGTCACGTCTTTCCCGTTCTTCTTCTTTCACACTCTTCTGTCTGTTTTTCAGATTAGCTTCCTGCTGCTTCTCTTCTTTCCGGCGGGCCTCGCGGATCTGCCTCAGCATTGGCACGCCTGGTCTGACATCTTCCCTGAAAAATAAAGGCAACAGTGTAGACGAGTGCAGGAAGGTTTCTTCCTGTTTGCCAGGTACCCCCTTGACACTGGCAGGAGACAGAAGAGGGCACCCAAACAGGGTTAAGAGAAGTAAAATGGTTAGCACCAAAAGAGACAAGACAGCACCTATCATCTTTGTATGGACACGCAAGATGTTGTCCATGAAACAGTTGAGACTGATTTTTTTTTGGAGGGGATGGGGGTTCAAAACAGGGTTTCTTTGTGTAGTCCTGGCTATCCTGGAACTCTCTGTAGACCAGGCTGGCCTCAAACTCAGCAATCTGCCTGCCTCTTCTTTAAAAATTGAAAGACATATTAAAAAAATGTCCCGGGGTGGGGGTGGGTAGCTCAAGTAGTGTCAGAGTACTTACCTAGTTAGTATGCATGAAACCCAACACTGTAACAACTAGTCATGGCTTTTGCACACACCTGTAATCTCAGTTCTTAGGAAACAGAGGCAGGGGAATCAGCCACACAGTGAGTTAGTTAGAGAGCAGCCTGAGCTACATGAGACAGACCCTGTCTCAAAACAAGCCAACACACATGACTACCACCACCACCCAACCAATGTCCTCATTTTTTAGTCTATATACGTCTTTTTCATATCATCATATTAGGTGTGCACATTTACTCACTGAACATTAATGAAGGCATCTGACATGTAATCCTCTTCTTCTTCTGCCATGTTCAACGTCATATGATAATACTGCCTACAAATCAGACAGGACAGAGTAATAGTATTATTTATTATCATTATCATTTTAGCTTACCAAAATGGAAATCAACCCTGGAGAGTGGCAACACTACAAGATGCTCCCTGAACACAAAGATAGAGAATTCAGCATCCTATGTCCTAGGAACAGAGAAGCAGCCAACCCAACAGAGGCTACCTGGGAATGGTGTGGACTTTTGAAACTTCAAAGCACCTGTTGTGACTCACCTCTGTAGCTAGAGTTTTCCTGCCTGGCCCACAGTCAGCACAAATCTCTGTCACCCACCAGTCCCTCAGCCGCTCAGACCCAACCAAGTAAACACAGAGACTTATATTGCTTACAAACTGTATGGCCGTGGCAGGCTTCTTGCTAACTGTTCTTACAGCTTAAATTAATCCATTTCTATAAATCTATACCTTGCCACATGGCTCGTGGCTTACCGGCATCTTCACATGCTGTTTGCCATCACAGCGGCTGGCAGTGTCCCTGACTCAGCCTTCCAATTCCCAGCTTTATTCTCCTCCTTGTCCCACCTATACTTCCTGCCTGGCCACTGGCCAATCAGTGATTTATTTATTGACCAATCAGCAACACACATACAGACCATCCCACAGCACACCTCCAACAAGGCCACACCTTCCAATCCTTCCCAAACAGGTCCTCCAATTTGGGACCAAATATTCAAAAGTATGAGCCTATTGGTACCATACCAATTCATCAAAACACGACAGAGGTAAACACTCTTTTTTTTTTTTTTTTGTTTCTTTCATGAGATCGGACCGGCCTGTATCCTGTATCTCAGGCTGGCCTGGAACTCACTATGTAGTCCAAGCTGGCCTTGGAACTTGTGATCCTCCAGTTATGAGACAAACACTCATATAATCATGTGGTATTCTCCAAAATGGTCTGCTCCTACTTAAATCTTGCCTCTTGGCTTTTTTTTTTTTTTTTTTTTGGTTTTTCGAGACAGGGTTTCTCTGTGTAGCTTTGCGCCTTTCCTGGAACTCACTTGGTAGTCCAGGCTGGCCTCGAACTCACAGAGATCCTCCTGGCTCTGCCTCCCGAGTGCTGGGATTAAAGGCGTGCGCCACCACCGCCTGGCGCCTCTTGGCTTTTTAATAACTCTGTGTAATATCCACATTGAGCAGTTTGTGTAACCAACAGGATTTTGTATATTCGAGTGACTTTGGGTCACACTGAACATTTCACTCTGTAAAGATGGTAGTATGGAGTAATTTAATGAAGTCTGTGGTCACGCCTGAGAGCACTCAAGCTCTATGGGGACATCCACAGGAGGAACTGAGGCATAAACATGTGAGCCAAATCAGTGAGCCACTTGGAAAATAGTCAAGCCTGAGGTGAATCAGACTGAACACCAGTATTCTTACATATAATAGTTAGTTAGTACTCACCTAGTTCATGAACAGCTCAATAGATACAAACAGTTCCACTTTCCAGCTTGAAAAATGAAGGCTCGATTTGGCTAAATGATTCGTTCCCAACCACACAGAATACAGGTCTTGGTGATCTTGCTCCTGAAGCAGAATGAGGTTATAACTGTCAGTGATGAGCTGGGTATCAAACCCGGGGCCCTACACATGCAAGAAAAGCATTCTACCATTAAGCTAAATGTCTGGCCCAAACTGAATTTTTGTTGTTGTTGTTTTTTTGGGGACAGGGTTTCTCTGTGTAGTTTTGGTGCCTGTCCTGGATCTCGCTCTGTAGACCAGGCTGGCCTCGAACTCACAGAGATCTGCCAGGTTCTGCCTCCCGAGTGCTGGGATTAAAGGTGTGCACCACCACCGCCCGGCTCTGAATTATTTTCAAGGGAAACATTTCCAAAGTCAGACATGATGGTCCACTGGTGTCATTTCAACACTCAGGAGTTTGAGGGCAGCGTGATCTGCACAGTGGGATGACAGGTTATTTCTCCCTTTTAGTTATTACATCCTATAGTCACAATTTTCATATCCCATCACACTTACGTACACCAGGTATTGCGATGTCATTAAGGGACAAACTTTGAGGAAACTGATTACTATTGGTGAGGAAGTTAAATTACTGTTAAGGAGTGGAATAAGGAATTGGGTCCTCGAGTGTGAAAGCTCTCTTGCTATGAGGACAATAAATACTAGCATTATCCACTCCCTCCAAAACATAAGCATAAACTCCACAAGGCGATAGAGAACTCAGGAAAAGATACTGGTGGGCCTGGACCATCCCTTAGGAGAGTCACAGCAGCGAAGTGATCATACGTCTTTTGAGGATGGGTTGGAGGTGGTGTGAGAGAAAGAACCAGGGCAAGAATGATGCGCGGCTCTGTGACTAAGTACCTAAATAAAGGGTGACCATTTTCTCAACAGGAAGATGATGATCGGTGCAGGCTTATTCTTTACTGGGCATCTTTGCACGGTGAGTTTGAAGCAAGGGCGACTGAATACAGAGATGGGCCACCTCTTTTCCTACAGGTGCCTCTCGAGCATCGCAGGCCCTTCCCTCCCGCCTGCAGCGACCCATCCAAACGACCACTCACGGATTGGGGGGCGGGGGGGGGGGAGGCCGCTGCTGATGTTGCGATGGGCGGTCACAGCCAACTAGCACCGACCTCAGTCCTTCTCCTGGGGCGTCCGCAGAGCCTAAAAAGCGCAGCTTTACCCGGCGGGACCCAGCTCCGCCGAGCGCGCGCCGCGCATGCGCAGCCCCACTCGCGAAGGGCCCGCCGGATCTCCAGCCCCCTCGGGTTCTGACGGCCGATTCGCTGGGGAACTCGGGTGGGCGGGGTTACGAGAGCGTCAGGGGCGCGCGTGCGCGCGGGCGCGAGACCAGCGTTCTGCGCACGCGCGCGCGTCTCCCTCCCCCCCCCCCCCTCGGCTTCCTGCGGGCTGGCGTTGGGGAGGCGGGGCATCCGGGTCCCTCTGCAGTGGCTCCTGCCTGCGGGGCTCTCAGCTGATCCCGGCCCCGGCCGGACTGGAAGGTGAGGCGGTCCCGCGCGCTGTCGAAGCATGCAGGCGGACACGCACCGCGATCCCGGTACCCCGGGACGTGTGTTCAGAGGGCCGAGGAAGGCATTGGAGTTTTGAGGCCAGGGAGCCGCAGCCTCGTGGGGTTGACAGCTCGAGGACCCCCCCCTTGCGACGTGAGGCTTGACCTCCTGGGACGGCCCCGCCACCCCGTCTCGCGTGTTCCCCCGGGTCCCAAGCTGTCGCGGTCCTCGGAGCAGCAGGGTGCACCCCTACCCCGTGCACTCGGGGTCTGCATCCCTGGGCCAAGGGGTTGTCCCGGGCGCTCCTGCTGCGGGTCCCTTTCTGGGCCCGCCCCTCGCCTGTCGGAAGCTTTGGTCGCCAGGGACCGTAAAGGTGCATGAACACTCAGCAGGGCACGGAGAAGGCTCGCCACGATGCATGAGCTTGGTGCTTCGGGGGTAGAGTGAGTTACCGGGAATAATGCCTTCTTGCAGTATTTACATTTTCCTTGCACTCCGTTCTTGTCGCCAGTTTAATTTCGTTTCTATCGTCGACTTCTCAAAATTGGTTCTCTCAGGTGGTGTGTGAAAGAAGTTGTATTGAACAAATGAGAAATAATGAGAAGTGAAACCATACTTCCCTCCCCACCCCCAATCTTAGTGGTTGCATTTATGAAATTGGAGATTTAGTATTAAAAAATCCTTACTTGTCGGGGCTGGAGAGATGGCTCAGTGGTTAATAACTCTTGTTGCTTTTGAAAAGGACCCGGGTTTCATTTCCAGCACCCACATGGTGACTATAACCATCTGTAACTCTAGTTCCAGGGCGTCTAACACCCTGTTCTGATTGATTTCTGTGGGCAGCAGGCTCAAATGTGGTGCACATACATTCATGTAGGCCAAACAGTCCTACACATAAATAAAAATTCCTTACATGTATTTTTTTTCTTTTAACTCTGTTCATTTAAGGTGTGAATTAAGAACTTCAATAATGGAGTTAGCTCACAGCTTATTGCTAAATGAAGAAGCATTGGCTCAAATCACCGAAGCAAAGAGACCAGTGTTTATCTTTGAATGGTTAAGATTTCTTGATAAAGTCCTAGTCGCTGCCAACAAGGTAGGTATCGCTCCCCCCACCCCATGAGATTAATATAAAGAGAATTTAAAACATTCTGTTTTGAGAATGTTATGAGTCATTCACCTCAGGAATTTCTAGTTTATCTTTCTCTTCTTAGTCAGCAACAAAACCCAGACCCTGTCTAAATCCCGCTCGTTGCATACTTCTTATCTCAGCTCAGTGTGACTGGGAGAAAAAGATGACTCTGTGGCTGGTGTCACTTATCATCATCAGTGCCTGGAAGTGGTCTCTGTGATGTCTGTAATCTCACTGTCTGCCTGTTCTCTTTGGGGACTTAATAAGAGGTTTTTACTTTTCTACTTTCTTTCTTTTTTCTTTCTTTCTTTCTTTCTTTCTTTCTTTCTTTCTTTCTTTCTTTCTTTCTTTCTTTCTTTCTTTCTTTCTTTCTTTCTTTCTTCCTTTCTTTCTTTCCTTTCTGATTTTTCGAGACAGGGTTTCTATGTGTAGTTTTGGTGCCTGTCCTGGATCTCGCTTTGTAGACCAGTCACAGAGATCCGCCTGGCTCTGCCTCCCGAGTGCTGGGAATAAAAGCGTGCGCCACCACCGCCCGGCTTCTTCTACTTCCTACACAGCCTCTTTGAGTTACATGCACGTTTGTTTTGTGCATGTTTTGTTTATTTTCTAAACATTAGATGCATTCCTCAAATGAGAGCTTTGTTCAGATTTTAAGAGTGAATCACAGAAGGTGTTCTGGAAAAGGTGAATTTTGTTATCTGAATGTCAGATAGGTTAGTCCCGAGCCTACCCTCTTAGTTTGTTTCTCTAGACTGATTGTCCCTAGAAGATACTTTTCTACTCTAGTGTCTGAAGACGATGTGGTTAATTGTCTCGGATTGAGGGATCGGGATAGGGAGCCTGAAGGCTTCAACACTCAATATGTAGACATTCACTTGATTCCTATTTAGTACAGTGACCTCAGTCCACAGTTGTATCCTTGTCCAAAGTTGTCCCATCTTACACTTTTTCAGAAAACAAGCCTCTAACCTTATCCTAGGATGGAGGAGAGGAGCATAGAAGATTTTGTTTGTTTTTTTGGCTTTGATTTTTCTATGTGTGACAGGCTTGTATTAGGTATTCCTGGCTGGCCTGGGACTCATTATGTATCCCAGACTGGCTTCAAACATGCAGCTGTCTTCCTGCATTAGCTGCCTGAGTGCTGAAATGCTGGGCGTGATGGATGCACCCCTGTATGCCCTCAGAGACTGTCAACCGGTTATTCCTTTTATTTCTAGGTGCAGATTTATTCTAACCTCAAAAGTCTTCCAAGACTTAAAAACAAACAAACAAACAAAAAAGGCCCATGAACTATTGGAGTGCTTTGTGTCTTCATTTCTTCTTCGTTTTCTCTGCTGGGAGTTGTGGGCTTCCAGGTTTTTGCTTGCACTCTTTTCCTATTGTGGTGGCCCTTGTGAACTTGGCTTTGTGCTGTTGCTCCTGCCTGTTAGAATCACTTTAATTGCCAGAAAGACAGTAAATGCATGGATTCCCTTGTAACCTTTAACTAGAAATTTTTATCTGTCCCTAAAATCTTCTGTACCTGGGCGTGTGTTGTCTTCCTTCCTCTGAAAAGTCTTTTTCAAGGTCTCACATAACTCAAATTGCCCAAACAGTGGTCAGGACTTGTTTTTTTTTTTTTTTTTTTTTGTTCCTTCCCATCTTTTCACATAGCTGATCTTCCGCTGTAAGTACTTAACACTCACGTCGTTTTGTTGTGAGAGCTGTCGGTTTTCCCCTTTAGTGACGGCTAATCTTAGGATTTCTGCCGCCATTTCAGATACCCAACTTTCAAAAGGTATCTCATGGGCTGCTGTGTAGCTCCGTTGGTAGAGCACTTGCCTCTAACATGCAAAAAGCCCTGGGTTTAATTCCAAGCACCACATAAAACAATTTTATGTCGTGGCCCATAGCAATAATCCCAGCCCCTGGGAAGTGGGAGCAGGAGGGTCAAAAGTTCAGTGTCATCCTCAGCTGCGCAGTAAATTCAAGGCCAGCATGGGATACGTGATTCGTTCTCAGTCTCCTCTATACATACATACACACACACACACACACACACACACACACACACACACACACACACACACACACCCCCACCGAGTTAACACTAACACATCTAAACCAAAGTATTGATTTCCTTTTTCAAACCTCCCCTTTCCCAAACCCTTAAAGCTATTCTTCACTTCTCCCTTAAACCTCGTATCATGCTGATTAGCAAATATTAATGGAATTACCCACAAGCATATCTAGGACCCGTCTACTTCCTCTCACCTGCCTCTCCAGTGTCTCTCTTCCGGGTTATTGCAGTAGCTTTCTAATTGCCCACCATGTTTCTGCCTTGTATATTCAGCATCCATGGTTTTAACAGTCAAGACTAATTGGGTGAAAGATTTAGATAACAACCCTCCTCTGCTTAAAACACTCACTCAGAATGAACTTAATATTCTGTCATCGGGTTTCCTCTGACTTCATCTCTGACTGATTTCTTCTACTTCATCCCAGCTAACCTGACCTTGCTGTCCTCAAGTGTACTAAACAGACTTCATCTGCAAATGTTCTATTCCTGGATAGCCGCATAGCTCACCACTTCACCTTAGAGAGTGACGTTTTTCTAATTAACCTATATAAAATAGTAAGCACTCATGCCATTTATTTATGTTCTGTCCCTGCCCCTAGAATGTAAATTTCATGAGAATCAGGCTTGGTCTGTTTTGTTCACTGTCACACCCAGTGCCTAGAATAGTGTGTGGCATGTAGTAATTGCATCGTATTTCTCAAGTAAGTGAGTGAATTCTCGATATTGACTAGATACTGGTTATGTGTAGATCTGGGAATTACGTCCTGTTGCTTAGGTCTCTTCAAAATTTCTTCTGGTTTTCTTTACTAGCCCATAACTTTATGGCGGACAACTGTATCTGCTTGTTTAGGGAAAAACCGTAGATATCTGTAAGCTATGCATCCAGTATGTGATTCAACTTCCTAAGTTGGTCTGGAAACTGGCTCACACAGTAATCACTTTAATTGAAGTCAAACTTTTGGACAGTGAAGGGAAATGAAGATTTAATCTAGGAAAGGGTGGATCATTTGTTACTGAAGTTTTCATTTTCATAGATGTTTTCATGTGTGAGTTATGCTTAATGAATATAGGTTTTAGTTATTAAAGCATCATACATGTTAAGTATTTTTGACTAGAAAGTAATAAGGGTACAAGGAAAAATGTTCTTTTTTTTTTTTTTAAATAACAGACAGATGTAAAAGAAAAACAGAAAAAGCTTGTTGAACAATTAACTGGATTAATCAGCAGCTCACCTGGACCACCTACTCGAAAGTTGTTAGCTAAGAACCTTGCAGCCCTGTATAGCATTGGGGATACTTACACCGTTTTTCAGACACTAGATAAGTGTAATGACATTATCAGA